CATCCCTCTCGCCACCTCCACCCGCATATGGACAATCACCTCCACCTACCCCAGCGTATTCCCCTCCTCTGCCTGCATACTCACCACCACCACCGCCAACGTATTCTCCTCCTCCACCTACATACTCGCCTCCACCCCTTGCATATGTACAACCACCACCGCCTCCACCAACATACTCGCCTCCTCCACCTGCATACTCACCACCACCACCGCCNCTGCATATGCACAACCACCTCCGCCCTCACCAACATACTCACCTCCTCCACCGACATACTCTCCACCGCCACCATCACCAATTTACTCGCCTCCTCCGCCTGCATACTCACCACCACCAACGTACTTCCCTCCTCCGCCTACATATTCGCCACCGCCACCATCACCAATTTACTCACCTCCTCCGCCTGCAAACTCACCACCACCACCAACGTATTCCCCACCTCCACCTACATATTCGTCTCCTCCGCCTGCATACTCACCACCACCACCAACGTATTCCCCACCTCCACCTACATATTCGCCTTCACCACCGCCTCCATCACCAATTTACTCACCTCCTCCACCACCACCATCCCTCTCGCCACCTCCACCCGCATATGGACAATCACCTCCACCTACCCCAGCGTATTCCCCTCCTCTGCCTGCATACTCACCACCACCACCGCCAACGTATTCTCCTCCTCCACCTACATACTCGCCTCCACCCCTTGCATATGTACAACCACCACCGCCTCCACCAACATACTCGCCTCCTCCACCTGCATACTCACCACCACCACCGCCAACGTATTCTCCTCCTCCACCTACATACTCGCCTCCTCCCCCTGCATATGCACAACCACCACCGCCTCTACCAACATACTCGCCTCCTCCACCTGCATACTCACCACCTCCACCATCACCAATTTACTCGCCTCCGCCTCGCCAAGTGCAGTCACCACCACCGACTTTCTCTCCTCCTCCGCCAAGACGAATTCACTCGCCTCCTCCTCCTCATAGGCAGCTACGACCACCTACACCTACACCTACTTATGGCCAACCACCACCGACTATCTCTCCTCCTCCGCCAAGACGAATTCACTCACCGCCTCCTCCTCATAGGCAGCCACGACCACCTACACCTACACCTACACCTACGTATGGCCAACCACCACCACCACCAACTACATATTCGCCCCCTTCTCCTCCTCCATATGGGCTTCTGCTCACTCCATAAACTAGACCATCCACCCCACCAACAAACCTGCCACCTTCTACGTACCATGGCCCATTGCCACCACGTACCTCCTGTACACCGTAGGAGCTGCATTTAGTTGCTAGTTTTTCCTTAAATCAATAAAGGTCTGGTGTGTTTCTTACTGTTGTCTCACCAGAACAGCTATAAAGATTAATAGTTCTTTCTGTTCTTTTACTATGAGTAGACAGCTATGAAGATCCTGTAATAAATGTCAAGTGTTGTTTAAGCTTGATTAAGTACTATTATCCAGTGCTTTTTGGCGACATTCTAACTTTGTAAAAAACTAAATGACATGCAGGATCGTCTTTACTTCCAAAACGGAATTCAACCTGGTAATTTACTATAGACGATTCAAAACCTGATAGGATTAAATCATTAGTGTGCCCAAATTTAAAAGTTCAATGCTAAGAAGTCTCAAATTTTTACTCCAAAACGTAGCTTAGCAAAATTTACGTTATTTTATAGTCAATAATAGTTTTGACCATCTGTTCTCTCTTTACTATGCGACAAGAAGCTTATTGGATGTAATATTATACTGCCAAGCTATTATGGATAACTTAATATCTCCAATACAAACAGTCCAAGAAACTGCAGCAGCAGTAGTAGACAAGTAGTTAACGAAAACTTTTTGGACATGCGAAAGAGAGTCAAAATAACGTGAGAGCTTTGCAACATACCTATTTCACTGTTTTAGTTCGCGACCCAACAAAAGTAGAAAAAGAAAAGAGGAACCAATTTATCCTTCTAGTCCAAGCATGCAGTCTGTAAGCTTGCGCGAGCTAATTACCGTGTGTCTGTGACAAATCCAGTAGGTTCTGAGTTGAGAGGGTGAGTTTTGCCGAATCTGGAAACTCATGGTTGGATACAGAACTGGATAATTACTTCAAGTAAAGATAAATTAGAACAAAATAATTCAAAATATATACCTGTCCAATAATGGGACAAGTTTGAGCTTAAGAGGTTTTGGGCTATATGGGATTTGATTATGTATTAGTTCTTTTTTTTTTTTTGACAAAATCTCAATTTATACCTATTAAGTCCAAACTATTTACCCTTTAATATCTAGGCCCAAACTATTTACTTTTTCTACCCATGCGGCTCAGATTATTTACACGGCCCACCCATTAGCGGATTCTCATACCCGGCCCAAGCTATTTTCCCCAGCAGCCTACGCAATTAGCGGATTCCCATACCATCGTCATTTAATGCCCCATTTAATTTATCTTCTTCCTTTAACGCTACAGAGTTAGTTTCAAAACCTCCATAGCCAAATCATGAGAAATCACATTTCACCCAGCATTTAGTGATTCGAGTTTTGAATTTTTTTCCAGATTTCGTTCTATCTCTTCGTCTAATACTCCCTTCGTTCCAATTTATGTGAATCTGTTTGATTGGGCACGAAGTTTAAGAAAAAATGAAGACTTTTGAAATTTGTGGTCCTAAACAAGTCAAAAAGGAGTCTAGAGTATTTGTGTAGTTATAAAAGGTTCTCATTAAAGGTAGAATTGGAAGTTTAAGCTAATTTGTTTCTAAATTTAGAAAGGGGTCATTCTTTTGGAACGGACCAAAAAGAAAATAGGTTCACATAAGTTGGAACGGAGGAAGTAGTAATTTCTAGACGAAATTTTTGGATGTGAAAGTGCATTTTAGTGAAAGTGAATTTTCAAAATCATAGAATTTTTGTATTTTTTTTTGTACTTTTGTGAATCAATATCTGCGGGTTTTTTTTCTATGGATCGGAAGCATTGTGCGCGTAGATGGTGGCACCGTGCACAACATCATTCTTCAACCCAAGTAGGTGTTGAATCAGTTGCCTCAGCTATATCCGGTCCTAGTTTATTTTTTGATTCTCCGTCTATGTTTAGTCCTAACCCTAGCAGTAGTCGTGTTGAAAATACAACTGAAAATGTAGAATTAGAGGGTGGAAAAAGCAACAATATTGATGCTTCGTCAGTCGATAGAACTCCTTACCAGGCATTACCCAAAACAAATTCTGAACTAGTCATAGCAGGTGTTGCATTGAATGATAAGGGAAAAGCTAAAGTTGTTGAGGATTCTGAGTTAGGGGGAAGCCGGCGTGAATCCGTGCCTGAAACAGAGACTCAACCAATCAATGTTGATTGTAGTGATGGTTCTCAAGTAAAGAAGAAAAAAATTGGTGTGGCACCCAAGAAGGTAATTTTCTTTAAATTAGTATATGTGCTTTGAACATATAGTACATTGTTATTTTTTGATTTTCTGGTATGATTTTGTATTATATTATAATTATAGTTAGTTGTGTGAACTGGGAACGACCCCGTATAACTGTATACCCTGTTGGTATAGCTATATAATATATTGGTATCATATGTTTGTTGGAACCTCAGATGCGGGAACGACCCCATACAACTATATACCTTGTTAGTATAGTTATATACTATATTTGTATCATACCTTTTTACTGTATTAACTTCCTTTTATTGGTACGTTATGTGCTTTTTCTTTAATAATAGTAGTATAGTACAGTATCTTAAAATACTTTATTATATTAATATATGGTACACTATTTTTTTATTTTTTTCTTTATGCATGTATGTTATATAATAGTAGAATAGTCATATATAGTTGGCGGGTATTAACCAATAGAACTGTATAACTTGTTGGTATAATTATATGTCATATTGGTATCATATGGTAGTTGTAATATTTTTTGGTTGTTTTAGCTGCATTTTTAAGTGAATTCTATTTCTGAAATTATTTATATGATCATGTTTTGCATTGTTGGGATTCCCTTGTGCCTATGGACATAGAGTATGTGTTATGTAATAGTTTTTATAGTTATAGGTAGTTGTTGGAACAACCCCGTACAACTATATATCTTGTTAGTATAGCTATATACTATATTGGTATGTTGGTTTCATATGCTTTTGGATCCTTTTTTGGTTGTATTGGTTGCATTTAATTGGTACACTATTTGTTTTTGCTTTAATAATAGTAGTATCGTATAATATCTTGAAAGTACTTTATAACTACATACCTTTTTTATTTTTCTCTTTATGCATGCCTGTTATGTAATAGTAGTATAGTCGTTTATAGTTGCCGGAAATTAGCCAGTAGAACTGTATACCCTATTGGTATAGTTATATGTCATGTTGGTATCATATGGTAGTTGTAACATTTTTGGTTGTTTTAGTTGCATTTTTAAGTGAATTATATTTCTGAAATTATTATATGAACATGTTTTACAGTGTTGGGATTTTCTTGTGCCTATGGACATAGATTATAAACCAAAGGTCGATTGAGATACCAACTGCAATGTCATTCATCTGTTGAAAGAGAATTTAATAAAGAAGCAACTTCGGATGTTTAAGAAAACACGCTTTGGATATCTTTTGGATCTGCTACCAGTTATTGTGCAGATTCGGGTTATGCACCATTTACTTATTAGAGAAGTACATCATGAGGTGAAAAATGAGATGCGGTTTGTAGTGAATGATTCTAGGTTGCGCTTTGGTTTGGGTGAATTTGCACTCGTTACTGGGCTGAAATGTAAGAGTAATACAAGTATAGAGAGCGTACCAGAAAATAGGTTGATTTCAAAATATTTTGGGACTGCATCTGTGACATTGGCCCAACTAGTAGACTGTTTTACGAAGAAGAAATGGGAGACAGATGATGATGCGTTGAAGATAGCAGTTCTTTATTTTGTGAACAACTTCTTACTTTCTCTGCTCAAACCAAAGGTTATTTCATGGTCTTACATTGACTTGGTTGAGTGCGGTAATTTTAATAATTATCCCTGGGGTATCGATGTTTATAATGCTACAACTGACTCGTGTTCCAACAAGTTTCAAGATAAGCCTTCTTTTTATAGACTCGGTGGCTTCCCGTTGGCTTTACAGATTTGGTTGTATGAATGCTGCCCAAGTTTGGATGGTCGCTTTGTTGATCATATTGGAAAAAAACTTCCACGAATTCTGAATTGGGTAGTCAAAGGTCAAATACAGAATGAGCGAGTTGCTTTGCGAATGTTTAGCTTGCAACGCGAACAGGTAATTTTCTCATATTTTTATTGCATCTTTTAATGTCTTGGTATAATAGTTTAGTCACAGGTAGTTGTAGCAATATCCCAGAGCAATGATATACTCTGTTGGTATACATGTATACCATATTGGCATCATATTGTAATAGGGATCTTTTCTACTACTTATACTTTTATTGCTACTTATACTTTTAATTTTCTCATACTTTTATTGCATCTTTTAATGTTTTGGTACAATTGTTTAGTCACAGGTAGTTGTAGAAATATCCCAGCGCAATGATATACTCTCTTGGTATACATGTATACCATGTTGGTATCATATGGTTATAGGGATCTTTTATCTTTCCATGTTTTGTTATCATTTCTATTTCTATCTAGTGTCATTAATAATTGCAGCTAAAGAACATCACCCCAACTGATGCTGAGAAGCAACTATTTGATGTGCGTGATCTAAACTTTGAAATTGAAGTTTATTGCACGGACAGTCAACCTGATAGCTTTCAGGTTTATGGCACTCAATTGCCAAAGACACAAAGTATGCATCAAAGTACTGGAGGTGATTCCGAACCTACCAATGCTGAGGTAATGAAGGAGTTACAAGGTTTGAAACTTTTTGTAGAGACCAAGTTTGAGGAGTTGCTTGCAGCTATTCGTAGGCAATCAATGAAACCAAAGAGAAATTTAGTGGTATTGTTCTTTTATATAATATAATGCTATAGTATATTGTTCAAAGATGCAATATATGCTTATAAGATACTATTCCATTCTTTAATTTTAGTGCACATAGTATTCTTATAATATACATAATAATAAAATTATTATTTTCTCATTTTCAGCATAAGCAACATGATATTGATCCTTACTTTGGTGAGATGCACAATGATTATGACCAGTTTGAAAGGGGCGGCAGTGAGAATGATGTTGTCGTTATTGGAGATAGTACGCCCAAAGTGCCTTCTAGTATGTAAATCACAGATTTGGTTGTTTTATTTTTGCTGTTATTTTTTGAAAATAGTACTCTTGATTATACTTTTATATGGTTAGTATCTGATTTTTGTGGGGTTGGTCGAGAGGGTGGTTCCAGTGGTGTCAATGTGAAGAACGTCACAGCAAGGCATGGCGTAGTTATTGATGATTTGCATTCTGGTAAAATATTGTATATGTAAAAAAATTATTCTTTTTAAATTTATTTAACTTTATGTATTTGTGCGTTCACTAACCTTTTTTAACTTTTTTCAGCCCCC